AAAAAAAAGTTTTACAGTTTACATTAAGAGGAATCATCCTTATTACATATTAACACTGAAATATAAAGATCTAAATATATATTTATAGCGTGACGCGGCTGGATTTTTAAAAATCACACTTTAAAGGCCCTAAATATACCATTTAAAAAAGTAGTTTTGCCCGGAAGAGTCAAATGTGGTGGAACGGAAGGGGAAATAGTGGTGGCTCATGGCTGCCGGAAGAGAAAAAAGCTAATATGTGGCACGGAAGGGGAAATAGTGGTGGCTCATGGCCGCCTGCCTTCCCCCGCTCACTGTGTACACTGTAAAATTTATGTACATAAAAAATAGCAAAAAGGATCTGATCTTAGAATAGAAAACGGACTATAAAAGTTGTGGTTTAAAATCTCAAATTAAAAAAAATAGTTGAGTTTTACCCAAAATCAAAGATAATCTTGTATCTGCAGTATTCGTGTTACTGAAATATTATTAATTGTAATGGTAACCAAAACTGTGGGTAAAAAAAAAGAGTAACCAAGTCAATAATATTATATTCATTTTGTGTAACAAAACAAATGTTTAAGTGACAACTTGAACATTATCATTGATTTTCCATGTCTTCGAAATTTGTTACATACAAATTTTCTTTAAATCGCGTTTAATAAAGACGAGTTTAAAGTTGTCAACTGTGTTTGTTTTTATTTTGACACACGTCAGGTAGTCACGTACACCCCTATACACACGTCACTTAGTCATGTACCTACATATACACGTGACGTAGTCCCGTACACACGTACACACGTCACGTAGTCACGTACATACATACACACGTCACGTAGACACGTACACACTTTACGTAGTCACGTACATACGTACACACGTCACGTAGTCACGTAGTCACGTACCTACGAACTTAACTTTATGAACACTCTTACCTTGGGTTCGAGTGTAATATTTTCAACTTCAGGTAATGAGTCATTTGGCCGGCTATTTCCTATCTAAAAATGATCAAATAAATTAAAAGAAAAACATGTAAAACATAAACATTGATAACCCACAAACAAGTGTACCATGCATCCTTAAAGGGACAGACCGGCAATGTAAGGTAGTTAAACTGTGCAGTATTGTGGACAAATTCTTTAGGATTCATTTGAGATATATAAAACGTTTCCACGTTGTATAGTTACTGAGTTTGAGCGTAAAGTCGACGTTCAAGATCATGAATTTGGGTGGGTACGTTTTCAGAATCGATTTTTTAATTATTAAATAACAACGACGTAAAATATAGTAAAATGCTATAGTAAACTAATTAGATGTTTAGGGACATATTTCTCAATAGAAATTTATCAATAAATCGAAGTTAGAATTAATTTTTTCCTTTTTCATCGTTATATTGATTTTCATATTTTCTATGAATTTGTTCGCAGATTTCTTCAAATTCTTTAAATGTCGTCTTATTGCGCTCAAACTCAGGATTTACAGATCTTAAAAAAGTTTTATATGTGTCATATGAATCAGAAAGAATTTTTCCACAACACTGAATGTTTCACTTTTAAATTTATTTTTTGCACATAGTGTTACCTTAAGATAATATTTCAAAGCTTTTTTTTGTAAAGGAATTGATTCTTTGCCACAAACTCTGATATTCTAACTTCTATATCTTTGCAACCCAATGTTGTAGACCTTTTACATTTCAAACTATTAATTCTGCTGGATATAATAATCTAAGTTTGAAATATTTAAGATTTACACCATCAGGTTCGAAAGATATAGGGACAAGCAAATTTGAATTTGTGGCAAAGACTCAATTCCTTTATTAGTTCCCACTTCCCAGTGTGACCCACTAAATTATTTTTAAACTTCAAAGTTGTACTTTTTTCATTTTCTTAAATTACCATTTGATTGATCTTTTTTTAACACGCCCTCTCCATTTTAAGCTTTTTTAGGGTTTTAAAATCACCATTATATTGATTTGTTTATACAGTCCTTGAACTCAATGAATGTTTACAAAGTGTGTTACTGACACCAAATCCTAATTATTACTGAGGAAAGATAAGACTTGATTTTACACACTTCTTTATTCACAGACAACAATAACATATTGATACATTAAGACTCGTTTTTCCTTAGAGTGAATAAGACGAAGAAAACATCGTCTTCCTTGGGTTTTAGCTTTATTGTGCTATGTAGAAAAAAACTGAATTTATTAGTTCTCCCGGTTTCAGAATTCGAAGCAAGATGAATTAGCTCGCGTCACATCAGTCCAAACTGCTTTGAAAAGTTGCATTAATTTTTAAGACTGGATAGACGTGAAAGTGTCGCAACGCTTTAGCCTGTGATTCAAAATCACTAACTAGTATATACTTTTTGTAACTCTTGACCTTTAAATTTGATAACCAATACAGGCTACAGCACTTGTTTTAAGCTTTAGTTCTTAATAAATGATTAGCCAAGTTCTTGCAACTTTTGGATCCCTGTGCTGTGACCTTGAGCGCAATAATTCAAGTTTTTTTCCACCTTTAATGTAACGAATCAGGAAAGACTTGGTTTCCCTGATTCCCTGGATCCGAAAAATATGGAAAAAAATGTATATTTGACATTTTTTGCTCATGAGAAAAGCGTTTACTTAAACGTTAAAATTTGATTAGTGTTTGGTCAAAATTCTAAGAAAGGAGAAAAGCTAGCTCTTAGAAAAGGGGCGGAGAGCTCCAGGAATTTTTAGTTTTAAATATTTTCCATAATACAAATTATACAAAATAAAAAGAAATAAAAAGAATTTAAAGTTGTACACCAGTGGTACACACAGCTTCTTATTATTTCTAAATAGTTGGAATATATTCTAGTGCAGAGATACATAATATACAAACTAAAGAGAAATAAAAAGAATTTAAAATTGTACACCAAACCAAATTACTCAGCTTCTTATTATAACTTTTTTGTTTTTGTTTTAAATATTTTCCATAAATGAAACTGTAGAGCGGGTTATTTCTAAAATAGTTGGAATATATTCCAGTGCAGAGATACACAATATACAAAATAAAGAGAAATAAAAAGAATTAAAAGTTTTACACCAAACCATTTCCTTACTCAGCTTCTTATAACTGAGTTTTTACGAAAAAAAGCTTTATGGCACTTTGCGCCCCTTTTCCTTTAATTTAACCCAGCTGCCATTTTTATTCTAAATCATATTTCGCGGAATTTTCTTTTCAAATTTGAAAAAAAACACGTCGAAATTTTTTTCCGGTCAAAATTTTCATTTCTAACCATCCATAAACATTTCCTGTGGTCGTGTAAAAAATGTGGGCACAGAAGGAAAAAAATGAATGGATATCTCGTATATCTGAACCCTAAATGCATTTGTCTCTCCTTGCAAACCGGTTCCGCATAAAATAGACTGAAAAGTATCGAATTTTAGATAGATAAATTTGTAAGAAGAAATTCAGCAACCGTGCATAAGTTTGTGTGTAGTCTCTGTGAAGGGTCGTACCAAACGAAACTGAACATTCTCCACAAACTCTAGTTTTTGTAATTCTTTTAATACCTACAATCTGACGATGGAAACCTTTAAAATTAAAAAATTTGGCTTTTTAATCCAGCAGAATTTATAGTTTTAAATAATATAAGTCTACAGTACAAATAACACTAACAGTAAGGGATATTAGAAATTTGGAGTATTGAGTTCCGTGTTGTGAAGAATATACAATTTCATAAAATAAATTCAAATGCATGGAATAGAAATTCAAATGTACAATAAATATATTCAATTGTACAATATATTTATTCAATTGTACATATAGAAGAGAAAATTCAACAAAATAGATTTCAACTTAACAAGCTTTTTGGTAACGGTAATGGTATAATATTGTCAACAATTAACATTAAGACCCCCCCCCCCTCCATGTAATGTCGTCTTCAACCTAAAAGCTCCTCTCGGAGACGAGAAACCAAACCAAACAATTTCAGCCCGCTTTTCTTCTTTGTTCTCCGACAACGGAGTATAAACGTTTATTAATTGTGAACCACTTCAAAGTTATAGCAAGAATATTTTCATATAAAGAATTAGTGACCTTCCTCAACATTTAATTGTTACTCTTTTCAGAAGTTTTAATGTACAAAAAAAGCGTCTTAGGACTTTTCGACAGTTAACCCACAAATAAGCAAATACATTGTAAGAATCTTTTCATTATAAATTTGTAAACCCTTGTAATAATTATTTATCATTATTCATTCCATTTTTTTTTAGGAAATAAAGAGTTTTCTGCATTATCGATTTTGATTTGAGGGTTATTCCTTGTCTATCTGTTCATCGTCAGAATCTTGTTCCTTAGCGACAACAAATATAGATGAAAATGTTAACTTTAACTTTAATAATTTAATACTTCTGTCATTCCAAAGTTAAAACTTTCACGAATATTTTCCGGTGAGGTTAAGAAAGAATAGTTTTCGGAGTTTTAAACAATTAAAAAGTTCTTCTAAGGCTTAAATTTAGCTATGTCTGTTCTGGTTTCAGTTTGTTTGTTTGTTTCCAAATAACTGGCTAAATCTAGAGGCCTGTATTTTTTGTGGTAATTTACATAACCCCTAGGAAAGATTTATGACCGAAATTTTGAATATTTTTTGTAATATAAAACAACAAAAAAAGTTCAGTAAAAGTAATTTTAGGGCAAACATTATTTTAAAAATAGGAATTCGGTATCAGATTTTATTTTCTATTAGATCATCTTTTGTTTTGGTTATCAAACTTGTAAATCTTTAGGGGAAAAAACACGAAAATATCACGTTCTTTCTTTTCTTTATAGCGAAAGCTTTAAAGACGTTATTGTCGTATTTTTTAATGGGATTTTTTTCGATAATTGAAAGTTCGTTGATTGTCATTATTAGATGTTTAACCGCTTGTTATGCTGAGATATAATATTAAAAATTGGAAAATCTTATCTTAAAATCAAATCACGATTTACTATTCAGGTAGCTAATATTATCATGCAATATCCAGAATTATTATAATAATGTAACAGTCTAGTTTATAATAACAATCAAGTTTATAATAGCTATCTAGATTATTTTAACTGTCTAGTTTATTTTAACTATCTTGTTTATTTTAACTGTCTTGTTTATCATAACTGTCTAGTTTATCATAACTGTCTAGTTTAATATCTATCAAGTTTATTAACTATCTAGTTTACTAACTGTCTAATTTACTATTACTGTCCAATTAACTATTTGTCTAGTTTCATATCTGTCTTGTTTATTAACTGTCAAGTTTACCTAACTGTCCAGTTTACTATCTGTCTAGTTTACTAACTGTCTAGTTAACTAACTGTATAGTTTACTAACTGTATAGTTTACTAACTGTATAGTTTATTAACTGTCTAGTTTACTAACTGTATAGTTTACTAACTGTCTATTTTACTAACTGTTTAGTTTACTAACTGTCTAGTTTTCGAACTGTCCAGTTTCTTATATCTGTCTAGTTTACTAACTGTCTAGTTTATTATAATAATATAACAGTCTAGTTTATAATAACAATCAAGTTTATAATAGCTATCTAGATTATTTTAACTGTCTAGTTTATTTTAACTATCTAGTTTATTTTAACTGTCTAGTTTATTTTAACTGTCTAGTTTATCATAACTGTCTAGTTTATCATAACTGTCTAGTTTATTAAAACTGACTGGTTCGTTATAAGTTTTTAGTATATTCATTATTTGTATAAAATATTATTTTATGTACAATTGTTAATTTCGGAATATTATTCACCTTTTTTTGTTTCAGCTCTCTGAGGAGCTTTATCGGAGATTGGTTGATTGATTGATTATTTGATTGATTGATTGATTCTGTAGATCCAGCAGACTCCGTGTCTGCTTGATAGTTAGGATTCCTGTCAGACTCACATCTAAAAAAATAAAGAAATTTTTTTTTCGTTGACTCAATGAAGTCTTGGCGATACTTGACCCTAAATTTCTTGAAATGCATCTGAAAAATAACTAATTGGATGTTTAGGAAAATATTTCTCAAAAGAAATGTGTGAATAAATCAATATTAGAATCAATTATTTCGTTTTCATCATTATATTGAATTTCTTATTTTCTAAGAATTTGTTCACAGATTTCTACAAATTCTTCAAATGTCGTCTTTTCAATAAAAATTCCAGAAAATGTGCATAAAATCTTTGTGAAAAATGAGAGATTATAGATACCAATAATTGAATAAGATTACGTGTTTTCGAGTTAATTTTTATTTCTCAACCTGTTCCTAAACAACTAATTAGTTTACTGTATAATTTTGAATACATATTTTCTCGTCGTTATTTAATAATTTAAAAAAATCAATTCTCAATATTGTATCCACACATAAAGATTATTTTAAAAATCGACTTTGCGATCAAACTCAGTGAATATACATCGTAAAAACGTTAGGTTTATCTCTGTTTACTTTTTCCTTATAATAAATTACAAATTACAAATCTGGTTTACTTTAAAATAATTGATTCTGCTCAGTCTATAAATAAAAGAACACCCCCCCCCCCCCNCCATTATACTTCTACTGCACACGGTCCCTCTTTTGAGTGCTTCATGCTTTAACTTAATTATTAAAGTTATAAGTCAGACCCACAAACTTTACTTCAACTCAGTAAATTAAATGATTTTTTTCCTTAATAATTGTGTTTTTATAAAAGTAAGATTTTTCATTAGTAGCATCTCATCCAATTTCCATTGAATGCAATTATCAAGTTTTAAGAACGAAAATAAAAGTTTGTTCAATCTAAATAATATTAAATGTAGAATTAAGAGAGGGGGGGAGAGGGGTCTTTACCTCTTTTTGTAGACCCTTTTCTTCTTATATTCATGAAAAACGTTGTCAAAAAATTCGTTGTAGAAAGTCTTAGAGAAAAAAATAAGCATATTCATAAATAATTTTGACTTTAAAAACGATATTTCGGAATCACCTAGATTGATATTTGAAATCGAAGTATACGCTGTGCAGTGTGTAAAATGTACAATTTGTCATCCGAAAATACGGAACAAAAAAGGTTTTTTTTAATCATAGTTTTAAAAGATAAATAAGTTAAAAGATTAATCTTTTTCAATTCTAACATCTTTTCATCCATTTTCGTCCATAAGATGCTAAAAAGGTTTTTAGAATAAGACCTAAAAATATATACTCCTTCGAGTTTAACATAAATTGAGTGGGGAACAAGTTCTATTAATCTAAATTAAATTAGTTTTTGCACTTTTTTCTCTTTATTTTGTATTTAGTATATAATTGAGCAGCTGATAATTTTGCAAAACTTTCTTTGCAGATTTTGCAATTTTCATTTCATATGGAAAAGTAAATTCCGTTAAAAAAAACAGGAAGTGCTGTCAATATAATTTCATTTGTACTTTGACACCAAACATAAGTTAAGGCATAGAAAATGTTGTACATGCAGTATATTGTTCATTACATTTAACATATAAGACTAAATTGGGAACCCAGCACTGCCTCGGTTACAAAAAGTTACTCATGTCGTTTACCCGCACTTGAACGATTTTACCAGGAAACTATATTTTCGCTATTAAAGTCGACCCACTTAACTTAGAATCTTAAAACTAAAATAAGAATATTTACGTGGGCCTCCCGAGTTCCCCAACCAAAATGTGCGGCAAATCGGTCCAGGGGTTCCTGAGTTATGATTGGAAAAACAAACAAACAGAGATTGCAACTGTATATGATATAAATATATACAGGTGTCCCCAAAAAACGTTTTGGTAAATTAAATTAACTTATATACGAACTTATATATATATATAGTTTACACTATTCGGTCAAATTTTTTGGTAGATATCAAAATGTCCAAAATCGTCAATATTGGACCAAAACGACCATAACGTTTTTTAGACGTCACGTATAAGTAAGTAACTAAGTAAATTTTTTTAGAGATAAATCTAAATCATAATACATATTATAATATGATTAACATTCTCATAAGAATATAATTAAATACATATATCATGGGTTATATAGAAATTCTAAATTACCATGTATATTGGGGCTACCTGTATTCCCAAGTATATTGGGGCTACCTGTATTCCCAAGTATATTGGGGCTACCTGTATTCCCTCTGGGGGAGTTTCTCTATCCAGCAGTTGTTGTCGGTGTTCCTTAACAATAGTTTGAAACAACAACAAAAATATTAATCAAATCTCTGCATATACGGGGGCAGGCGACTATATCAATATAATGAAGACGACTTTCGATTTAAATTTTAATTTATATCAAACTTTTAAACAGCACAGAATCAGATACACAAAAACATATCAACAAAGAGAAGCTGTCAATTTAAAAAACTAATCTTTAATTACTTGTAAAGTTTCAATTTCACACATAAGTATGAGAAGAGCAAATTTATCCAGGTACAAAATTTGGTTCGTTAACGAAAACGAAACCCAATTCGAGTCTCTTATGGAAATATTTTTGCGTTATACATTTTCTCTGTTGTGGAATATTTCTCCGAAATTTCTGCTAACTGCACTTACTTACTTACTTATTTACTTACTTACTTACTCACTTATTTCTTTTCTTGATAAGTTTATACTGAAGACTTTTAAAACTTTTATAATCTTTAATAGTTCTTCGACTCCTTATTCTCATATTGGATTCAGAGCTAAATATGGGACATTCAAATTAAGTTAACATTCTAAGTATTAAACGGCAAGGGGATGGATAAGAGATTTAAACACTTGCCACAAACTCAAAAATTTCTAATCAGCAACTTGAATCCGAATTCAATGAATTTGAGCCGCGTCTCAAATCCGCCAAAAACCGGGTTTAATTGAGCACCGGCTTAAACCTTGAAACGTTAAATACAATTTTAAGTGGAACCAACTATATTTGAGCAGCGTCTCAAATTTAAGCCGCCGTGCGGCTCAATTTTATTTAATTCGGCCTCTCTGATGTTGTACATATGTAGTTTCAAACTACGAATTCGGGGAGCAAAATTGTTAAGCTTTAAATATCAAAGGTTGCACTCATCATGTTGCAAAGATATTCAGATTAAAAAATGTATTTAACATGAGGCCAGTAAGCATACAAGTTCCTTAGAACATTTTTAAAATTGTTAGTTAGTTGCAGTACGTATTACTCATTGTATCAATTGCCTACATATTGATTATTTAATTTTTTATTCTATTAAAAGTTCACCTCTTGCGGAAGACGATCTTTGTGTGAAAGTCTGAATTTTTGCCGAAGAAGTCCGAATAATCCAAAATTAGAGGATTTCTGAACGGCTTCGATTTCTGCCGCAATACTTCGATCCCTACTCCCCCGATCCCTACTCCCCCGATCCCTACTCCCCCGATCCCTACTTCCCCGATCCCTACTTCCTCGATCCCTGCTTCCGCGATCAGTGCTCCCGCTATCCCCAGATCTAAGAAAATGTAGAGGAAATGAACACCTATTTCAAACTATGACTTCTTCAAATATACAAAGTTTAAAATATCAAAAGGTTTACACCATTAGGATGCCAAGATGTAAGGATTAAAACAGTTGAGTTTGAGAAGAGAAATCTGTTCTAATTCAGTTCTTGAGAACTGACCTAGATCTAGGGTCTAAACTTAAACCTATAAACTTAGACCTAGACCTAGACCTAGAACAAGACCTAGACCTAGACCTATACGTATACCTAGACCTAGACCTAGACCTAGACCTAGACCTAGACCTAGACCTAGACCTAGACCTAAACCTAGACCTAGACCTAGACCTAGACCTAGACCTAGAACTAACCTATGCTGAGACCTTGATCTTCCACGTCGTCCAAATCTTGAAGAAACATTCTGAAGTGATCCTTGAAATAAAAACAAAAATGATTTAAACAAAAATAAACAGTTTTTCTTCCTTCCTTGATAACGGATGAAAGGACACATTGTGCTTATATATTTTATCTGTTTTTAATCTGAAATCTATCATTTCAAAATTTCATTCATTTTTTTTTATGTGAAATGATTTTCAGATACATAATTGCATATTTTTCTGATCAAATCTGGAAAAGTTCAAATTATCATATTTTTCTGAAGTAAATGTGTACAGCATGAAAATAAAAATATGTGGAACTGCCCTTTTTTAAAAACAACAGGGTGTCCCACATCATTAGATCGTTTACACCTTTTAATAGATCGTTTACAATTTTCGGGACTAATCAGAAGTTTAAGAAGATAGTTTGAGTTAAATTATCTAACCTCTGCCTATTAAAGATATTGCTGGTACAGATCGGCTGGAGAGTGAGGACCCAGGCCTAAAAAAAAGTCTTTTGAAGTCGAAAATACAAAAAAAAAATTTTAAATTAGAAAATACAAAAATTTTAATTGTTAATTAACTTTGGAAGAAAGGCATTAATTATAATCCATAACATAATTTTTAAATTTATATAAAACGTATTTAACATGTATGACAACCCTGCACTCTTCAAAGGATAAAAAAATAACAATTTTTTTACTTTAAAATCGTTTCATGTATAATTTTAAAACAGTTGGTTTTTCTCACCAAATTTGAGCGACAATTTGCTTTTTGTGGTTTATCTAAAGCCGAATTTTGAAATTCCAGAATGTTAAAACAAAACGAAAATTTTATCTGAAATTTCTAAAACATACCTTTCACATTCATCATCACTGAGGATTTTAATAATCATTTAATGTTTAAATATCAAAATGAACCAAAATATACCGTGGGACCTATAAACCTGTGGAAACAGATGACGACTTTAATACTCATGTTATACTTTAAATATGCCAATGAACAAAACACAACAATTGTCCATTGTACACAGAAACAATCTTTTGATTTTCAAAATACTTGTAAAACTATTTTTCTTTGTAACAACATGGAATACAAATAATATTTCTTTAATGTTGTCTTCCTACACCACAATTTTATGAGTCACACTGTATCATTTTAAACTGAGGTGGAGGGAAAAACAAACAAACAGCNTTCCTAAGTGGCATCTTCCCAAATGTGCAATTTTTTGAGCGTCAAGTTCCCAGAGGCGCCACAGGATGCAATTGGGGGCCGATGCGCTGCGGATAGGATGGGGTGGAATAGGCCGAACGCTGCGTCCCATATACTTGGAAATTTGCCGCTTGGGAAATGGCAAATTTGGGAGGTTGTTTTGATTTTAATCTTAAGTTTTTCAATGATTTATTCCTTGTTTTGCCAGGTTTACTTTCCGCTGCGTTTTCCTGAAAAAAAAATTCTAAATTACCATGTATATTGGGGCTACCTGTATTCCCAAGTATATTGGGGCTACCTGTATTCCCAAGTATATTGGGGCTACCTGTATTCCCAAGTATATTGGGGCTACCTGTATTCCCAAGTATATTGGGGCTACCTGTATTCCCAAGTGTATTGGGGCTACCTGTATTTTGGAAACAAATATTAGTTTTTATTGTTAATTTTTAAACAGATATTAGGGAAAAATCATAATTATTAATGAAGGTTCTTCCGATCATAATTTGTCCATAACAAGTTAGTTTTATTTTTGGATTTAAATTTGATTTACTTCCGGTTCAAAACTTTGTTAATTGTTCCCTTTAAAAAGTACCAAAATGATTAATGCTTTTTTCAATAAACTTTTTTACTTTTCTAATGAAAAAAAAGCTTGTTCATTCCTGTTGCTAACCCAGTTTTAACTGGGCCCCCTGGCATAAAACTGTAGTAAGCTTAAACAATCAAAAACTTCTAAATAAATATTCGAAAAAAAACATTCACATTTGTTAAGACAAACACATCTATTGATGAAGGGGCGTCCTCCCTAGACCTAGACCTAGACCTAGAACTAACCTATATGAATCAGATATCTAAGTATGAAAGTCACGGAAAAAAAGTTTCTGGAAATAAAACCTTTGGTAAAAAATTTCCAATTTTCCTACGTCCTTGGACAAAATGTCACTAGAAATAAAGTCCTGATTTAGATTTCTGGGACTTTTTTTCTTAAAAATGTATAAGGGCTGCCAATGAAGTCTCAGGAAATTAGATCACAGAAATAAATTAAAGTCCTGAAAAAAAGTCCTAAGTCTTGTGAAAATGAGGTCAAGTCTGAGACGTTTAAATAAAAGGACTTTGAAAGTTCTTATTTTAACCGTGGGTTTAAAAACCGTATTTGCTTACAGTTATCAAACCGATGATTATCTAAATAAACCGGTTTTGAGATTTACGTTTTTCCAACTAAATTTTTTATCCTGCAAATAAAAAGATTCCCTTTTTGTATGTATGACAAATCTGTCAAACCATTCTTAATTAAACTATCCGTTCTGCAAAGATTCTTAATTAAACTATCCGTTCCGCAAACCATTCTTAATTAAACTATCCGTTCCGCAAACATTCTTAATTAAACTATCCGTTCCGCAAACATTCCTAATTAAACTATCCGTTCATGCCGCAAACCATTCTTAATTAAACTATCCGTTCCGCAAACATTCTTGATTAAACTATCCGTTCTGCAAACCATTCTTAATTAAACTATCCGTTCCGCAAACATTCTTAATTAAACTATCCGTTCGGCAAACATTCTTAATTAAACTCTCCGTTCCGCAAAGCGCACATGTTTCCTGAGCTGGGAATTTTTAAAATCCGACCCCTGCATATTTTTCCACCCATTCTTTTGTGATTCAGCGATTCAGCGATTCCGAGATTCCGGAATTTCGATATTCTCGGATTCCGAGATCCCGAGATCCTGAGATTCTGAGATTCTGAGATTTTGAGATACCAAAATTTCGAGATTCCAAGATTCCGAGATCCAAAGATTCAGCGATTCATCGATTTCGAGATTCTGAGATTCGAAGATCCCGAGATTTCGAGATTTCGAGATTTCAAGATCCTGCGATTCCGAGATTTCAAGATTCCGAGATCCCGAGTTTTTAGTACACGAGTTCTTTCTGAGTTCAGCCCATTTTACCTGGAAGTCTTCATCTGAATTTGTTCTTGTTTTCTTCTTACAAGAAGAAAGATCTGTCGCTGACTTGGACAACCGTTTCATCAAGGATCTTAAAAAAAACATATTTACGCAGGGATACACAGCAGTGTAAACAGACTCATTTTACTAAATCCGTGATTTTATAAGTGTCTAGTAAAACTATTTGCTTTGAAACAGCATAAAATGCACTTAAGTATTGTTATAATGTCGTCTTTCATTTCATTGTTTTCTGGTTATTACTGTAGAAATTTTTCAATTTGAGAAAGTAAAAAAGTGTTAAATTTGTCCAAATACACCCAAAACCATTTTCAAAATTACTATATCCATCAAACCTTGTATGTATATTGCATTAATTCGTACATAAAGCCAAAAAAACTGAATTGTAAAAGGTAACATATAAAAGAAATAAAAGTGTCTAATACAAGCACATAATATGGCATTACATACAAGTTGTATTCTTTATTGTTGTATGTCACGAGAGTATTTCTGGGTATAATTAATCTATGGTTATTTATTTTCCATTTCTCTTCATTCTTGCAGAGTGGAACAATTTTTTTTAATATTTCCAGGAATTTCTATCTTTTTGAGCTTAATAATTATTTTTTGATCTGTGTACCATGCATGGTTACCAAGAAATAGATATTAATTCTACTTGGTTCAAAAATGAATGTTTTGGTGTTTATGGGATTGTCGATCGTTAGAATTGAAGTTTCTGTTGCAGATAACCGCAAGTAACTTTAAAAGAGAATCTAAAATTGAAAAAAATCACTTTTGAGCTGAAATATTGATTCATTCTTGAGCACACAACGTTAATGATGAGATTGGAAAATAACGAAAGTATTCAGACTTTTTTTCCATCGAAATTATGTGAATCGGACATTACTCTGGTTCACTAGAAATTATATGTGTTTCAGTCCTTTTATAATTGAATAAATAAAATGAATAATTTTACCTCGGCATGATGCCCTCTTCTTCCTGTCCCCGCCGGTATCCACATAGTACACAAGCAAACAGATTTTAACGTGCTGTGTTGTAGAAAACCGGTTTTGTTGGACAGGTGCAGACAAATCCACGAGTTTCAAGTCTGCTAGTACACCAGTGTTCTACACCCAGGGCCATTGATGTACTGCATATCCTGTTTCACCCAAGATTTTGGAACTGTACTGCAGTGGTTTACAATTATTTGCAGTTTGTACTTTAAAAGTAAATTTCGGATAAAAAGACAACTTTAAAATAATCTTTGAATAATCTTTCTTTAAATCTTTATTATAAATGGAGACAAAATTTTCTTTTTAATTATTTGAAAAGAAAATATTTACTGTTTTTTCACTGTTATGTTGTATTGTACAATTTCCAAAAAAAAAAACTGTGTCTTTGCCACAAACTCAAATTTTCGAATCCTTATTTCTTTGCAACCTGATGGTGTAAACCTTTGATATTTCATACTTTGACAATTTGATCTATCAGAATTTATAGTTTGAAATTTCAAAATTTCTCAACACTCAATTCGTTTCCAGTACAAATGGACACTTCTTGTTTAAAAAATCATTAATGATTTACATGTACTGCAATGAATGTAAACAAAGTTCCTAACCTCTCTAAACTTTTTGTTGTCAACACGTTTTCAACTTTTTTTCACGTAATTGTCAGGAATGATTTTGCAAAAAGCTGTCACTACATTTTGAAGTTCATTAAAGTTTGTGATTCTGATATTCTCTGAAAGATGAATAATTAAAATGCTAACCAACTATATAGACTAGATTATGCAGGCACAGAAAGGAATATAATTAAAGCTAACAAATTAAACAAATAAATCAAAGCCGTGAATTATATCTTTTTTATATTTTTACTCACAAGGATGATATTTTCATAGTGAACACAAACTGTTTAAATATCATGATCTTAATTCAAATTAGATCTTCTTCATAAAAAAAGGAAAAATCACCAGAAACCCTAAGAACATTTGTTTGCAGAAGAAGTTTTATTTTCAGGGAGGATTGTAATTAAACAAACTATAAGAAATACAAACGCTGAGTTTTATATTTCATTAGAAAATGTGTCAATTTTGTATAAAATAATACTTGTAGAAACAATTGTTTTAAATTAAAATTAATGCAGTTAAATAAATTTTTTGTACTACCTATAATATATATATATCACGGTAATGGGTTTTAGTAAGTGCGAAAAAAGTTTTGTCGGGATTTTTATTTTTTCTAGTTTGTTTAAGATCAGATACTTTTATTTTTCTAGTTTGTTTAAGATCAGATACTTTTATTTTTCTAGTTTGTTTAAGATCAGATACTTTTATTTTTTTCTAGTTTGTTTAAGATCAGATACTTTTATTTTTCTAGTTTGTTTAAGATCAGATACTTTAATTTTGATAAAAAAAAAACGCATGATATTACAATAACATATAAAGTTTTATTCAATTTTCCTCAACTTATTTAAAAGCAGGTTGATAAAGTTACTTTATCACCTTGTTGTAGGGAAATATTAAGTGTGATAAATTCCCTGAAAATTGAATAAGATTTATATATTCAACTGTCTTGTGTTAATATTTGGGAAATTATGTTCTTTGTTGCGATTTTTACTTATTTCTTTGTAAAAATCCCGGCCAAAAAAAGTATTGTCCCGCGCATTATAACACAAGACAGTTTAACATATAGATATCCCTTGACAATAGAATGTTACATGGTAAACCCCTGAAACATGAATAGAAAAAAGAAAATATGTAGTTCATGTGCCTGAGTGCTTAAGACAAGAATTGACATCCTTAACTTTGTAAATTATTTAGAATTCAAGAGACAAAACAAAATATGACTGCAGCCGAACTAAAAGAGACAACTTTTAAATTTCTAAATATTCAAAGATCTGATTTGCAGCATGGTCAAAGTTTGAAGGAAATTATTTTTTTTGGCAAATTTTTAACTAGAAGGAATCGAATGTGATAAAACGTATTTTGTTTAGAAATACAAAGATTTAATTTGCAATTTACATAAAATCTAAAATCATTAAATACGATTATTATATTTGATTGCAGTGGAAAGTGTTATTTTACTAAATTTAGTACTTTAAGATTAAATTATCTAGAAAAATTTCAATTTGATTATAATTGTTTTTTTTCACTTTTATTTTTGACAGAAATATTAATATATCGAATAATTTGTTTCCTAAATTTAGTTAGGAGAGTACTGATTGTGCTTGGTGACTAAAGGCGTGACAAGTGTTAAATTTAAATGAATTATTGACAAAAATTAAAGAGACCTTTACATAATGAAAAGGAACACCCTATTTTAAAAGAAGTGTGATATAACACCAATTAATATATTTCCTTGTTCTATTAATTGTCCGATACAGAATAAAACAAGTTTTAATGACACTTAATTTTTTTTTTGTGGTAACAAACATAAATCCAAAAAAGCTTTATGGACCGTCAAAGATAAAAAAAAATGTTGCTCAGGAAAAATGTCGACATTTATTTGTTTTTACGCCAAATAAAAGTTTAAAACGATTAAAACTGTGTAGATGTCTAAACAAATTATAACTACACCTTTGATATCTTTATAATATGGAAAAGTAATCATTAAAATTTACATCTATTCAATCCTAGATACTAAATTTAAAATGCAGAATTAAAACATCATAAAAATGAATTGTCGTGAACAAGTTTGTTTGTCTGACCTTTGTCAAACATATCTTTCTGCTAGAAAGTTTCGGTTAATTAACATTATGGGCCTAAAAGCCTCAAATTTTAGAATGAACACTGTCATTTGTCAATTATGCATTCATGAATTCTGCAACAATTGAACTAGACTTTAAGAGACATTAGACGTAATTGGACTAGACTTAAAGGGACATTAGACGTAATTGAAGTAGACTTTAAGGGACATTAGATGTAATTGAACTAGACTTAAAGGAACATTAGACGTAATTGAACTAGACTTAAAGGAACATCAGACGTAATTGAACTAGACTTTAAGAGACATTAGACGTAATTGAACTAGACTTAAATGAACATCAGACGTAATTGAACTAGACTTTAAGTGACATTAGACGTAATTGAACGACTTAGAGGAACATTAGACGTAATTGAACTAGACTTAAAGGAAAATTAGACGTAATTGAACTAGACTTAAAGGGACATTAGACGTAATTGAACTAGACTTAAAGGGACATCAAACGTAATTGAGCTAGACTTAAAGGGACAGTAGACCTCCCCTAAGCAAACCAAAAATGGCCGAAAAAAAATAGTTCAAGGATTTTAAAACTCAAATCAAATTTGTTCTTATTGCAATTCTAAAATATTGAAAAGTGTTAACCAGCGCGTAATTAAATCAAAAAAAGAAAAGAAAATGGATTTGAAACCTTTACTCAATCAAGCTCGACAACTCCAGGCAGGAAAACTTAGAAACCTTAATATATATAAGTGCTGATTTCTGACTTTGTAAACAGTTTACAGAAAATAGATGTTTGTTTATATTATCAAATGTGTAAACAAGTTCTTCGGTCTGTAATTTAATGCATTTTTTGCAGTATTTTATATGATTTACCTCCCTCCTATTCACTTTTAAATAACTGTTATTTCAATTTTAAGAGTTTGCATACCCCATTTATATTAGTACCCTTTAAACCTTTATTTGATATTCGTCAATTTAATTTTTTAAAATTTTGTTAAATTCTGACAATTTCCTTCTTTGCCTCAGCTGCTCAAATCTGCACTGCACGCCACTATGAAGAAACCAAAAGAAGATGTAAACTCCTCCTTTGAGCTTGTTTTACGTCCTGAAAAAACCCCTGAAAACAAAAATTCTGGGGTGTTTTTTCAAATTTTTTATCCCATTAACTATTTTTCTGAAAAAACTAGCTCCATGAAAGTGTTTAAATACATCTTCTTTGAAGCTATCAATTTTCAGACAAGGTCTTTTCAAGAATGTTTTAGACTTAAACTCTGTCGACAGCCATACTGAACTAGACACACTACTGTGCTAGCAGGGGCGTATACAGGACTTTGTCAAGGATTTGGGCTGCATTAAATAACCCCTGAAAAACATATTTTGCAGGGGGGGGGGGATTACATAGCCCACCCCACCAACACTTCCCGGAACTCTCTTACATTAATCCCCCCCCCTCTCTTCTTCTATTTCATCATCATTAATTAAGCTTTCTCTAATAGATTGTTCATTGCGCTCAATCCATTATTCTCTATGGTCTAGGAGCTAGGAGCTTGTATGGGGGGATAATCAAGATTCATCCAAATATGTTTTTGTATTATTCTAAATCCTGTTATTTTTTGTAAATAGTTGGGACAATAAATCAATCTTTATTCGCAGATAACGCACAAATTCAATCAATACTATCTACTGTCTACTGTCTACTGTCTGCTGTCTACTGTCTACTGTCTACTGTCTACTGTCTACTGTCTACTGTCTATTGTCTACTATCTACTGCATTTTGTCTCCTGTCCAAAAAAGAAACATGGGAATACAAATTTTGCATGTGAAATTAAGAAACTTCATGTTTCTGAGAAATCTCAGTATTGCAATTTTATTTGCAAAGTATTAGAAAAATTAAAGAGCAACAAATACAGTACGCTTGGCAGTGCCCCAAAATGCAGTACACTTGACACAACTTGAGACAAATATGATTTATATTTAACGACTCATGCTTTTACTTTTATTGCTGCAACTTTTCAAGTTTCGAATAGTTTTCATTCTTTTGTCATGATTACTTTACATTATTGCTTTAAAAGATTAGTTCATTTACAGAGTTTTAGGGTCTGTGAACACTGTCATTTGTCAATTATGCATTCATGAATTCTGCAACAATTGAACTAGACTTAAAGGGACATTAGACGTAATTGAACTAGACTTAAAGGGACATTAGACGTAATTGAACTAGACTTAAAGGGACATTAGACGTAATTGAACTAGACTTAAAGGGACATCAAACGTAATTGAGCTAGACTTAAAGGGAATCCAAAAATCGTTCTCTAGGATATCACTGAGTTCTACCTATTTTTCCTAATTTGGCAATTAGTGTGACAAATTTTTTTTATTTAGTGTAAAAAATCTAATGGAAATAGTTTCCAATCTTGACTTGTCAGAGTCAAAGTTTTACTTGTTGAAACCAAATAGATTCTAGTACAATAGATGGCAACGTAGAATTTGTACACCCTCAATACAGCTGTATTCTAGTACAATAGATGGCAACGTAGAATTTATACACCCTCAGTACAGCTGTATTCTGACGTCACAAGTTTCAATTCAGTTTTTGTGCCCGACAAAATTATCAATTGATAATTTTAGAATAAAGTGCTTTTCTTTCAGTACAGTAAGTGCAATTTTATGTGTTTTTTAGTTTCTCTTTTTACACTTTTTTATTTAATCTTGGAAAACATGTCAACTAATGTGAGACAATTTCGTTTTCCTTGTTATATTTTACACTTTGTGACGTTGTGTATAATTGGTTCATTTCTCTGTTGCCACCTATTGAATTTGATAATCTATTTGGTTAAACCTAATTTTGCTAACTGAAAATTGATAATCTGCGGATTTATGGGGCAAAGACAAGGAAGGAAATTGTGGGAATTTAACACGCTTATTAAAACCCTTTTTTTTTGAAATTTGTTGTCAAGTTTCAATCAAACTGAGAAAATCTCATAAAGAAGATATTTCCCTGGGATTTCATAAACCTACATTTTCAAAAAAAAAAG